TCTACTGTATGCTCACCTGCTTCATGGCGAGTCTGTAAAATTAAAAAAAAAATAGTTAAAATTAAACTTGGACTACAGTATGGCGTGGAAAGTAATTGCCAAAAGATTAGAAAGGGTACGTACTAAAACGTCTTATTAATCCGCACCAAGCTGGATTCATAAGGACAAGATATATCGGGCAAAATATCAGGTTAATGAACGACATCCTAGACCAAGCCGCAACCCAAAACGTCCCTGGGATACTCCTCCAACTTGACTTCAAAATGGCATTCGATACCATTGAATGGAAATTTATTCAAAAGACGCTTGCTCGCTTTAATTTTGGGGACAGTATTCAACGGTGGATATCAACTCTTAACACCAATCCGGAGAACTCCGTTGTGAATAATGGCTTCTGTACCAACCCTTTCCAACTGTCAAGAGGAGTGAGACAAGGTTGCCTCCTGTCTCCTATATCTCTTTCTTCTGGCTGTGGAAATCTTGGCATGCAAGAAAAGGCAAAGCAAAGTAATACAAGGTATTCAGATTTTTTTAAAAGAGTGAAACTATTATCACAGCCTGAGAATGGGCAGGAGGGCGGGCGCTAATGATAGATTTGCTTATAATACAGGCAAGTAGCCATTGCTCCTAGCTGCTTCGTGTTGCGCTTGCTTTAGGGCCACAGTTTCATATAAGTGTCGCCCATTAGACAGATCACTTCTCTGGCTCATCTGCATGGAACACATGCAAGTTTAGAACTAACAATAGAAGTTTTTGTTTTTTTTATCGTCAAACTTCAGGGTATCAGACCTATATCTGAGTCTTGATGGCTACGAAAGTATTCCAGATTGACCAGAGCAATATTCAAACAGAAGCTTGTCAATCAACAAACATGTCATAACAAAATGGAGCGAGATTGGAAAGTTTGGATAGGTGATCCCAGTTGTGGTCGAACTACGCATGTCAGAAAACCTGGAAAACCTTACTGCCACGGAGATTGCACAACAGTTTCCAAACCTGAAGGTGCTCAACCTAAATGATACTCTGCTTGACACGTGGGAAGTCATTGATGCGCTGAAACGCTTCCCAGGATTGACAGATGTCAGTCTCATGGGGATTCCCCTACTAGAGCAGTACTCCAATCAACACAAGCGCCAGCTTCTAATTACAAGGCTCCCTAAAAACATTCAAAAGCTTAACAAGACCGGCGTGACAGACGAAGAACGGGAAGACGCTGAACGATTTTTCATTCGTCATCACATTAATGATGAAAGTCCTCCTTCAAGGTATCTTGAGCTGGTGGATGCTCGTGGTGTGTTAGACCGACTGGCTGAGGTCAACCTAACAGCTAAAGAATCTGCCTTGATCTCGTTTGCATTTGATGATGAACCTCTTTTTAGAGAGAAATAAACCTTATGCAGAGTACAACAAGTTTGAAAAAATGTTTAAGTGAGATTATAGGGCTACCACCTCCCGGATTCAAGGTACTTTACCGCGACGTTGGGTTTTCCTTTGGTCTTGACGAAATGAAGTACGGATCCCAAAAGCTGTATACGTACAACATGAAAGATAGAGATGAAACACTTGTGGGGAGCCGCTGGCTTAGCAGAGTGCGGCTTCAAGATTAATTAATAGTGATGTTTCTTTATGAAAGTTTTCTACAGTTCAGGGGATTTAAAACTAATTGTGTTTGAGGCGTGCATTGTAGCAATTACGAAACTCTAGTTTTCAATGAACGTCACTGATGATCAATTTGCTAAACATTTAGAAATTTGGGTGATCATTAAAATCGCGAGTTCTTTAATTGTAAAATGTCCGGACATTCCACGAGGTGTAGCCTTGCAAACAGATACAGATCTTTCGTACTAGTAGTAAGGTGAACTCAGAGTGAGCGAACAAAAGCGGGGTAACTGTTTTCTTTAACCTTAAGGTTTAACTCTCTCGTTGACTCGCCAGCGCTGAACCCCGGAGGACCCCCATATAATAAAGACGGGGTAATCATCGGAAATTTTGAAAAGAACCCCTAGGAAGTACCAAGATCTTGCTTGTGGGCATGGCTTGAACTTTTTTCATCCCCGGAAGTACCAATTCTAAGACAACATATTATCTCCTGACATATTTTTGGACACAATCGCCTAAAAGGTACTGCGAAAGCTTCCGCTGTGGACCTTTTGAGACTGAACATCCTAAGAGGTACTAAAGGCGCGTTTTAAATCTTAAACGGTACGACAAGCACCCTCGTCCTTTTTATATGGGAATCCCCCCCGGCCCACCCCCCAGGGAGCTGAACATCAGCTGTTTATATCATTCGGAGAGTTTTTCTATTTACATTCTTATCCATGTACACGCTCCTTCCAAACAAGCTTTTCACAATTTTATCACTTTGAGGATTTGTATTTGTATCTGTATCCAAAGGTTTGAAATGTAAACCTTGGGACGTAAATAATGTTATGTTGAGGAGTTATGATTGACCTTTATCATAATATATAATATAATAAATCAATAATCTGAGAGGAGGCCTCCAATCACCTAGAGGTGGTTTACAGGAGGGGTCCCAAAAAAAAAAGTCTAAAATGGAAACACTGGAAATGTATATTGATGGTAAAACAATACAATGGCAACTACATTATTAATTTGAAAAGATTTACGTGGATAGGGTTAAGGGCCACCTAAAATTTTCGAAAGGTTAAAGTGGTTCTAAACCCTCTTCACATGATGTTTTTTGACTTTGTAAAAAGTTACATCTTATCAAGCTTATCACAATTCGATAATAAAAAGTGGGGATCACCAAGCTTGTTTTATAAATATAAGCGCTTAAAGCTGAATTTAAGGGTGTCTTAACAGGTATTGCTGCTATGGTAACCCTTTGTATAAAAAAGAGGACTGCAATTAGCTTACCAATGATTGGGCATTTGTATGATGCCATTATTGTAGAATCACTTGTTAAACAGTTGTAGTATTCATTCTTCAAAGTGCAGCTGTTAGAAAAGTGCTGTAAACTGTTGTCAGCCTCCTTAATGGACCTCGTAGAATTTCACTTGTACACTGATGTAAAAACTGCAATCTGATTGGCTGAGCTATCGTACACTATCAGTCACTAGTGTGTAATGGCTGGAGAACTTCGGAAAAACGAGAAAACCTCGCCAGGTCAAAACAATCTCCAGCCTTGTCACCCTAATGGCTGATAGTCTACGACAGCTCAGCCAATCAGTTGTGCAGTGCGCAAAGAGAATTCTACACATTAACAATTAGATTGTACGCTCTTAATTTCTGTGAGGCCGTGGTTGATTTGGCCTGCCGCCTCATCAACTACATTAGGGACCTTAAGATACCAGGACGGCTACCGGAAATAAATTTATACTAAAAATACTACGCTGAAATACGCAAAAATTGGGAATAAAAATATTCCTTGTCTGTTCGTTTGTGTACAGTCACTGTTCAGTCGCTGTCACGAGTGTGCAAGCTCAAAACGAAATACAGACTGTATGCATTGAGAATACAGCAGTGTAAGTACAGTCGATAAAATGATGTAACAATGAGAGCCGTGAAAGCATCTATCGAGCAAATGAAATGCTGTTTTCAAACTGTTTAGTTGTTTTTTTTTAACTACCCGGAACTTGATGTAATGTTTGTTTTATTTTTATAATGCTTGTTACAATTACAGATGGAATTTGAAATTTTTACCCAATATCAGGATTCTCAGGCGACAGGATCCTCAAAGTCCTCAAACACTCAGTGGCAAAAAGCCATCTGAAGCAGGTCAATCGGATTGTTCGTTTCATTTTTTCGTACGGAAATTCTGGTTTCTTTATTGCAAAGAAATACTGACAGAGATGTTTACTTCGCTTATAAAGAAGAATAAATTCAGCATGGACTGTTCACCATCGTTTAAACGTAATAGGATAACTCAGATTTCTACCATCTCTTTAGCCTAAAGGAAGTTATTGCTTGTGGAAATAGCTTTTACGAAGCTCAAGTTAGTGACGTCACTGTCCTTCACGAAAATACACATGTCAAGGACTTTGTCTTTGGCGACTCGACGGGGCCCGCGAAAGTTTCCCGCGTCCACTGCCGTTCCCGTCCTGGCCTTCCCGTTCTGGTATCTTAAGGTCCCTAATTATTACCTCATAGAAATCCCAAGCACATTATCATGTTAATTAGTGGTGTCTGCAAAGACTTCAAAGCCATGGCGTCAAGTTTGGTGACGTTGCTTTCTGGTCACTGTGAAGCAGGAGTGTTACACTGACGACCATGTAATTGTGGGCGAAGTCATGCGCACCAGGCTCCCGGAAATCTTTGGCAGGGAATGGCCGGGAATCTACTGATAGTTTACCAGTTTCCTCTGTAGAGTGCTTCGACGTTGGTTTGTTTTCAGTATGACTTTTCAAAGGACTTTTCGTTCATTAACGCGTGCTTATATTACGCACGGGCACGTGAGGATGATGCGGATATCGATCGGAAATCGATGGTATTAATTGCTACTATCTTGCGAGAGCTAGGCAATGGTAACGTCAAACCGATATCAGTCTCTGCAGGCTTGAAATTACGGTGAAGAGTCATCAATGAGTGTTGAAAATAAACAATAGCCTGCATTTGGCGGGAAAATATGCTTGGATATTTGCCCGAAAACATTATCTGGTCTGGGAAGCATTGAGCCTCAAAGAACGGATTATGTCCAAGGACAAATATCTGAGCCATTTTTTGAAGTCAAATGGACGCTCTTTTGCCCGTTATAATTCAAATATTTTTCACAGCATGGGTGATATTGGGGAATTACCAAATTTTACTTAGGGCGTGTTCACTCAGGTGACCCGCTTAGACCAATGGCGTGCAAGCAAAAATATTTGATCGATTATAAACGAAGATAATCTGTCCCACAATCCCAAAGAAGAACAAGTGAAACGGGAATTCCTGAAAGACAATTAATTGAAGTCTTTGCACCTTGAAACGGCAAATTATTTCACGCTAACTATTAAAATACCGTCGCAAAGTAAAATGTCATCAGGGCCATTAAAGACACTCAAGGCACTTTATTGCCGTTCTCCTTAAACAAGTATTATTATATTTGAAATCAATCTAGGACTAATCTCAGTTCAACGATTATAATTTACATGAAAAAATCGCTGAAAATTCAAATGCATATCACAAACATGTCACACAATGTGCACAAAATACTTAACATGACACATTGTTAACTCAACAAGAAACAGCTTGTCCTATCTAAGCGGTTCGTCTATTTCTAAAAACAATTTAAGCATTTTGGTATAATCTAACACCTGAAAACTTTTGCTACTATTCTTTAACAAAATACTTATGTTTTTTTCACTTTGGATATTTAACATATTATGCAAAAAACCACCTTAATTCGCAATTTTCAGAAATTACTAAAATGTTGCTATTTTGTTAAGGTAAGACAGTGCGTGAACTTACCATCAAGTTATGATTACTTCTAAGCTACTATAACACAGCCCTATTAAATAATATGTCCAGGGGTATCGAATAATCACTTCTTGAGTTGTCACTCATGTTTAACGTTTGTGCAAATCGTTTACGGATACAAATTGATACGACTCTAATGCTATATCAGATGAGCATTTTGCTACAAACTGTTGGCCAGTTAGCTATTTGCACTTAAAAATTAAGAGTATTTGGCATTCTCGCAATAAGAACCCTTAAGTGTCCCTCTCCTCCGTATTGATAAATGCACTCGACAACCTGAAGGGAAAGACAAAACAACACTGTTAGCTACTATGGAGAGAAACTTTTCATCAATTCATCGATTGTCTCTCAACCTCTGAAGTTAGTAAAGTCTTTTTATAGTGTAAAGGAAACGAAACACTTAACCTAGTTAGCTATGATGTACCTCACCACAATGAATGTTATAGTATCACCACAATTGCGCCCAAAACGTACAGCCCAAGTAGCATAGTATTTTCCATCGTAAGTTTCCACTTATGAAACACGTTTAACGTATGGAGTAAATTAAATCGGTAATCTGAGATTTTCAAGAAACGCGAGAGTATTGTTATTTGTGCGAGACAAAGAAACTGCACCGAGTAGAAACTTCAATATGACTTACTTTAGAATTGTATTATCTCAACATTTAACAAATACCTGAGTACCTTTAGCTATATTGAAGTTCATCTAATCGCCTTTAGCCAAGTCCAAGGTAACATCATCACCGATGAGTACAAATGGAGCCCAATACTTCACTGCGCTAAATTTCTCAGACTCTCTCAGACAATTCATGGCTCGGTTCACAGATTCACTGGCACTTCTTCCTTCTGCTAGGTGAAGGTAGAAACTCTTCATGAACTCCAGAGTGGCTTCGTCGTCAATTGCCCACAGAGACACAAGAACAGAGCGAGCACCGGCACCCAAAAAGGCTCGTGCAATGCCAACCACTCCCTCAGCCTTAACCTCACCACGACCACTATGGCAACAGCTTAGCACAACCAGTCTTGCTCGCATTTGAACTCTCATCACATCACTCATTGTTAGCAAGAAGTCTTCTTCAATAGGGATCTGGGAATCTCGTATAGGATTTGGTGCCAAAGCAATTTCTCCTGTTTCCATCCTACCATGTGCTGCAATGTGCACCAAAGCAACAGTGGAGAGTCTCCTCAGCACTTCATCTTTTGTTGCTTCTTTTCCAGTTAGTGGAGCAGTGTTGAGTATTTTTCCAATCATCTCTACCTCCTTTTTAGCACATGGCAACTGTTCTAGAATGGACACAGGACGAACTTCTTCTAAGCACGGATCTCCCACAAGCAGCGCCCCAAACTTCTTGTGGTAATTTGGCGAGCAGTCTTTGATCAATTTCAAACTATTCAATGACGGAATAACTCGAATTCCGAAAGACTCGCTCAAGTACTTTGAATTAGAATCCATGAATGCAGCATAGGGAGCCAAGCATAGTTGACCTTCGGGAACAAATAGCAGTTCACTGCCATTAATCAAGTCTTTGATGGGGCTAATAGTGATGTCATACCATGTTCTTAAAACATTGGAATCAATAAGGGTGGATTGGGATAGGGTTTGATAGCTCTTCTTCTTGGTCGGCTCGATTTCGCTCCCCCTATCCAATGAGCGATCTTCACATTTCAAACCACCTCTGACGCCAATTTCCTCATGAACATTGTGATTTAACAACTCCAACACAGCGGTTGCAGAATCCTTCGAATTGTTATGCCTGATTTCTTTTCTTCTTAATTGAACATCCTTTCCATTTTGAATAATCCAGAAAATGATTTCTCTTTCATGAACTGCCATAAAGACTGTATTCAATGGAAGGCAACTTAATGTCTCCCAAGTCATTTTATCCATTATATGTGGTGTTTCAGTTTCGTACTTTGAATTTAGAAGATCCTTCAGAGCTTGTGCGCGTCCTTCCTCAACAGCAAACAAAGCCTCAATTTCGTTACCTTGTTTTAACATTAGACGCCATAATCTAGTATAAGCCAAATCCTTAAGGTTGCGGTAGCTAACACACCACTCATCTTTACCTTGCAGTTGCTGCCTAACATCATTGAACAATCGCACGCTAGAATTGTAACACTCAAGAGCCCGCAATTGAGACCCCTGAGATTCAAAGACATTACCAAGACCATAATACGCCTCCCCTTCTCCAGCCCTATCTCCCACTTCTTTGGCAATTTTTAGATGACGTTCCTGGTACTCGATGGCTTTTTTGAAATCTCCCAGACTAGCATAAGCGATGCCAAGATATCCATACGAAATTCCTTCTCCAGCCCTGTCTCCCACTTCTTTGGCAATTTTTAGATGACGCTCAAGGTACTCGATGGCTTTTTTAAAATCTCCCAGACTTAGATAAGCGTTGCCAAGATTAGCATACGACCTTCCTTCTCCAGCCCTGTCTCCCACTTCTTTGGCAATTTTTAGATGACGCTCAAGGTACTCGATGGCTTTTTTAAAATCTCCCAGACTTAGATAAGCGTTGCCAAGATTAGCATACGACCTTCCTTCTCCAGCCCTGTCTCCCACTTCTTTGGCAATTTTTAGATCTAGTTCATGGTACTCTATGGCTTTTCTGCAATCTCCCAGACGGTGATAAGTGTTGCCAAGATTACCATACGACCCTCCTTCTCCAACCCTGTCTTCTATTTCTTTGGCAATTTTTAGATGACGTTCAAAGCACTGGATGGCTCTTTCGAAATCTCCCAGACATTGATAAGCGATGCCAAGATTACCATACGACCTTCCTTCTCCAGGCTTGTCTCCCACTTCTTGGGCAATTTTTAAGTGACGTTCATGGTACTCGATGGCTGTTTTGAAATCTCCCAAACGGAAATAAGCGTTGCCAAGATTACCACACGAGCCTCCTTCTCCAGCCCTGGCCCCCACTTCTTTGACAATTTTTAGACTACGTTCACAGTACTCGATGGCTTTTTCGAAATCTCCCAGACTTTGATAGGCGTTGCCAAGATTGCCATACGAGCTTCCTTCTCCAGCCCTGTCTCCCACTTCTTTGGCAATTTTTTGATGTAGTTTATGGTATTCGATGGCTTTTTTGAAATCTCCCAGACTGTAATAAGCGATGCCAAGATTACCATATGAGTCTCCTTCACCAGGCCTGTCTCCCACTTCTTTTGCAACTTTTAGACGACGTTCATGGTACTCGATGGCTTTTTTGAAATCTCCCAGACCTTGATAAGCGGTGCCAAGATTGCCATACAAGCTTTCTTCTTCAGCCCTGTCTCCAACTTCTTTGGCAATTTTTTGATGACGTTCAAAGTACTTGATGGCTTTCCTGAAATCTCCCAGACTGTAATAAGCGTTGCCAAGACTACCATACGACCTTCCTTCTCCAGGCCTGTCTCCCAATTCTTTCGCAATTTTCAGATAACGTTCATGGTACTCGATCGCTTTTTTGAAATCTCCCAGACTTTGATAACCGTTGCCAAGATTACCATATGACCTTCCTTCTCCAGGCCTGTCTCCCACTTCTTTGGCAGTTTTTAGATCTAGTTCATAGTACTCCATAGCTTTTTTAAAATCTCCCAGATGGTGATAAGCATTGCCAAGATTATTATACAAGCTTCCTTCTCCGGCCCTGTCTTCCACTTCTTTGACAATTTTTAGATCTAGTTTAAAGTACTCGATGGCTTTTCTGAAATCTCCCAGACGGTAATAAGCGTTCCCAAGATTACCATACGAACCTCCTTCTCCAGGCCTTTGTCCCACTTCTTTGACAATTTTCAGATGACGTTCATGGTATTCGATTGCTTTTCTGAAATCTCCCAGACTTTGATAACCATTGCCAAGATTACCATACGACCTTCCTTCTCCAGGCCTGTCTCCCAGTTCTTTGGCAACCTTTAGATGACGTTCATGATACTCGATGGCTTTGTTAAAATCTCCCAGACGATCATGAGCGGCGCCAAGATTACCATATGACCTTCCTTCTTCAGCTCTGTCTCCCACTTCTTTGGCAATTTTCAGATGACGTTCGAGGTACTCGATGGTTTTTTTGAAATCTCCCAGACGGTAATAAGCCTCGCCAAGATTACTATACGCCCTTCCTTCTCCAGGCCTGTCTCGCACTTCTTTGGCAATTTTTAGCTGAGGTTCATGGTACTTGATGGCTGTTTTGAAATCTCCCAGGCAGTAATAAGCGTTGCCAAGATTACCATACGACCTTCCTTCTCCTTGCCTGTCTCCCGATTCTTTGGCAATTTTTATCTGACGTTTATGGTACTCGATGGCTTTTTTGAAATCTTCCAGACTTTGACAAGCGTTGCCAAGATTACAATATGACGCTTCTTCTCCAGTTTTGTGTCCTACTTCTTTTGCAATTTTTAGACAACTTGCATGGCACTCAATTTCTCTCTCGAGATTTGTCAGAGAGTCATAATTTTTGCCAGGTTCAGCTTGTGTTTTATCTTCTACATCTTCCGTGGTTTTCGGTAAAACGTTGGTATTTTTCTATTAGACAAAAACTCTTGTCAGTTAATGACGAAATCGTAAATATTTACCCAAGAAGTTTACAAACTACTCTTCTTGGGAGTTATTTAGCTGAAACTATCCATACCGTTCTAAAGGTATATTAATTTTGCATATTGATTGGAATAGCTTCTTTTTGAGTCGAAAAGATGCTCAAATTACAAAAATATAATTGGGCTGACATTTATTCCAAGGAACTACTGATCAATATACTGTTCTTTGTTAAAGGGTGCTTAGTTATAAGTTTAGTTAACGTTCTTAACATAGAGGAGAGATGTTAAAACGCTTACGTTTTGCTGGCGACGATTTTTGTATATTTTATTAATGTAAATCATTATTTCACAAATATTGCAACAACTGAACGGTTACATTAAGAGTGAAAAGCCTGTAAATAGTAATTACAAGGTACGATAATGTATATGTACTCGTTACAAGATAAAACAGTCAAGACACAGCAGGCAACAAGCTACAATCTTAATCAGAATAAAATAAGAGATAAAACCACCCTTATCCCCGAATCAATGATGAACTGGCACTAAACGCAAAACACGTCTTTTTCATTATTGAAATGGGAGGAAGGGTGGACTTGATTTTCATTTAAATTGTCCAAGGTGGTAAGAAAGGTTTCAACGTGAAAAAACAGAGGGAGGCAGTACTGAGCTACCTTCTTTGCCAACCTATTTATCGGCGATACAAGGAAGTGGTCTGTGTCGCAGTCACCCGCGTCAGAGCTCAATTGTTGCGCTGATAACCTAAGTTTAGGTGAACTAACTTTTCGCTTCATTATTGTCGACCGACCGTAGTATTTATATCCATAGTCAATTACTGTGTACGACGAGCCCAAACATCGCAAGCTACACAAATTTGCATATTTCGTACTAGTAAATCATGGAAAATCCTTCGACGAGATCTTGAAAAGAGGAATCAGTTATATGAATACATTTATACTTCATTGTTATTTTGAAAAGTCTATTTTACGCACGCTAATAACCTGGGAGTTGTCGACTCATTAGACGTACTCGTTTGCGTTTCGGTTGACTGACAAGCGCATTCTCCTTTTGGCAAGACGATACCTCCGTCGGTAGCTATAAAGTTCAATTTAATTGTTTGTTTTACTTTCCTCATACATTTATCAATGCTTGACCCATTCTAAGTTTTTAATTTAGACATGTTTCGTTCGTCACTCAAAGACGAAGCTCAAAGAACAAACCAATTGTGTATGCCATTGAGAAACACGGGCGGATTACGACCTCCTGGTGCGTGTGCTTTCTTTCACATGGCTAGTTCACAAGTTCGAAACCTCAACAATTTTAATCTCCTCGTTTTAGGCCGTAGGTTTCGTTTATTATTCGTTTAGAAAAGTCTCTATTTCGAGAACAAAAACGCGATACGCTTAATTTGCCGTATAATTTCCTAACCTGTAGTCTCCATTATTTATCTAGGTCTGCGACGCGGAGGATCCTTTGAGCTCGGTGGGAATAGTCAGATTTTTTCTAGCTTATCCCAAATTTGTGTCCTATTCAGTACCTTGGCAATGTCAAGCTTTCGACTAGAGCTAGAGAAGAATATGCAGGCCATGAAAATCTCTAGGTTTTTATAGTAGCGGCGAACCCGAGAGCGAAGAAATCCTGGGTGGCTTTCCGGCACAGATCAGCCCTTTTCTCTGGTTTTTTTTCTCGTTTCTGGTCTAGTTTCATCGAGATAGAGGTTTTGAATGAAGAGGAATACTCTGTCCTAAGCATCCTGTATTGCTACAGCCTCCAACAACACATCTTACTTCTATTATGCAACGATTTTGACACACACTGTCGCATGTTCGTATATATTCTTCTCAGAGACAAAACATTGTTATTCCCGAAATGACGTCGGGAGCCAATTCGTTCCATTCACCACCACTCCTCGGTCGTGAACATGGAAAAGGCCAATTTTACCAACTTTGAAATGAACTTTCATAGAAAATTAACCAAAATAGCTTTAACGATAATTTTTCGAAGTGGCGATCAGGAGAAAAGGAGATTTATATTAGCGAATAAAAATTTGGGGGGCTAGTGGCACTTTCAGCCAGTATTCAATACTCAGTCAGACTCAATCACAGCAAAACTGTTTGTTTAATTAACATAGTTTCCAAATAGTCACTTTTGCTTGTCACTTGACGTATTTTGCCACCTTATGCGCATGATTGTAGATTTATTTAAAGCGCAAAACTAACTTACACCTTTCCCTTACAATGTCGGAACGTCGTTAATTTCTTTCGCTAATTTTTGTGTTGAAAATATTCTTTCAAGCCTTACTTATCCAATACTGTACTAGCAATTAAATATATAATCGTGTTGGTTAGCAAATAACTTCATCTTAGGACAATGCTTGAACACGCACTCGTGCATATTCAATTTTCGTATCAATAAAGTACATGACACACACCAAAAATAAACCATATCGTGAAGTTATTTCAATGATGTTTCAATCGCGAAACAGGATTCACTAGGATTTATTTCGGCTAACGTTCTTTTCCACTAACGTGCGACAACAGCTCAGTTCATCCTCTCGAATATGATCTACATAGGCCATATAGCTTCTTGTAGCGCCAGTGTGGATCTCGATCAATCTTGGTCAGAATAACATAACAAATAAAACCACCTCCCCCCCTGAATCAATGTATGTCACGAATACAAACAGAGAGCGAAAAATCTAATTGTTTGAGTATAGGTCTACATGTTGTTTAAAAACTTTATCTATGTCCTCTTCAGAGACACTTCGAAAACGTAAAGAAGCGGCCGCGACATTGTTAACAACCACACGCTGCAAGAGTACTCACAATCTAAGGCGGAATAGATAGCGAGCAGCGAAGCCAATAAGAGAACGACAGTCGTGATAGACCGTTGGTAGATTAACAGTGAAACTGAATAGAATCACGCAGAAAATGGTCTCTATTTCTTCAAGAAAACACTGCGAAAAACAAGCAAGGAAAATCAACCGTCTTATTTCAATGATCAAAATGTAAATTCTTTTTGCTGAGACATCACGCCAACAGCTCGTGCTAGCTCTGTGTTTCTAGTGAGTTGTAAAAGTTCATCTTTTACGCGTTTTCTTACAGGAGGATTTTTCAACACCATATATCAAGTTTCACATTATTTGATCTTTCCATTCAAAGCCGAGAATACATTTGCCCCTAACATTTCTTACCTGGCCATTTACAGGGTGAGTTTCTGGATTGCTCTTTGCTTCTTGTAATTTATTTCGATGACCAACACACCTGGCTCGTAAAATTAGCAATGTTTTGTTAGTCTTGTCAATCTGCTTAGGGTTAAGGAACATGACACACTTTGTAATGAGAACCTCATTGAAACATACTGTAATAAGTTATAGAAATTCATTCAATGGCTTATATTTATAAGTGTTTGCGAAAAAACAATATATATATGGTTATGTAATGTACTGAAGGTGTATAACAACTCAAACCTTCACGATTGACAAGGGGCAAGGGGTAGAATGGAAGCCCTCTTTAACTTTTCCAGATTAAAATACATTCTGAAAGCAATAATGTCTTCTAAATGGCCTGAGGCTTGCTCTAATTTTTTTAAAATTAGCCCTTACCTACTTTTACTAGAATCCCTACAGGTAACATGAAAGTTCCTTTCTACAGCTGGCAAAAAAAAGCACATAAAAGACGTTGTAAAGGATACGGCCAATCCCTTCTCACACCACAATATGGCGTCTTCATAACAATGTAGCTGCTCACAAGCACTTGCTCCTTCAAAAATACCAAAATATTACATGCATTACAAAGGTGAAAACAACTCAAGCCTGGTTTATTCTTGTAATTAACCCTTAACAACCCAGCTACAAAAATGTGCGTACAGAAATACTGCCTAACAGAGAGCTTTAGAACTGCATTTTGGTAGAGACTGGGCACTGAATAGTTTAATCCAGTAAAAAAATGGCTTACTGTGTTTCAATCAAAACTGGATTGATTTAAGAGGCGTTTGCTGAACAATCCCTCATTTAAATTCACTTTCTGATTTATGTTGGACGGGTTGCAGGAAAAATGTCAAAGTAGCTTTGGACATTGCTGAGAACGGCGACACTGTACATGTGCTGTGAAAATTGAACTTATCAAACAATTACGATCCTCGGCTGTCCGATCGATGATATCTGTGGACTTTGAGTCGTCAGAGTTCGATACGATGGCTTTCGACTTCAGCATGTTATAAATCAGTCGAGTCAAGGATTTTACCAGTTTTAATGGCTTTCATCAAAGTTGGTTCCAGCTTGACGGCAGTTGTTGCATCATTCAGTGCCTCGTGGAAATTCCCTGATTAAAAGAATTGAAATAAATCTATGTACACGTAAATAAGCAGTAACGAAAAAGTAAAAGCGATAAAAGTTCCTGAGGTTCAAGAGATATTCAAAGAGCTTGTCTTATTTCAACGGTCAGACCTCTTTCAATTTAGGGGCAAGCAACGGATCTGATCTTTGAAAGAGGTTTGAGATTGTAAAGAAAACATACTTTTCTATTTTCCGGCTTTTTTCATGTTTTTGCAGGTCAATATTTGACATAAAGAATTGTGTCTACGCATACAAGTTTAATTTTACCCAAAGAAGGACAACCATAACGAAAAATAGCAAAGCGGAAAACATCGGAAAATTTACTGGTGAACTTTAAAGACAACAGACCTATTCCGCATTTCAAGAAACAATGGCACCGAGTCGAGGTCAGGGTGGACAAAAATAAAGCAAATATATGAAAATGTCCTCCCAAACCTCGCTCTGGTGCTATTGTTCGTACGCACTGAGTGTTTATTTAGCTTTTAATTGTATGGACTGTTGCTTGCAACCGGAAAGTTACTTTCGCAATGTCATCTGTTTGAACAATATTTTCTAGGAAAGGTTGAACAGAAAGAAAACAACAATTTCTTTTGATTGGTGGATAAATTTAAAGGTTACCAGATTAAGATCTTACCGAGACGGTAATAAGCTGTTGCCCTGTTGCTGTACACTTCTGCTATCGCTGAAAAGGAAAAACTAATTTTATTAGTAATTTATTTTATGCAGTGCCGGCATTGAATAATTTGTTCCCTTACTCTTAAATAACTTTATTTTCTTGCAAAGTAACACAGCTATGCGCAGCTAACACCATGTCTTAAAAGATTTCATAGTTAGCGTCAAAACCAGCGACCTTCCCTTCATCACCGCTTAACCCTGAAAACACGTCCGAGTCAAATGGTATTTACAACTTTTTCAGCTCTTTTCTGAGAAAAGTTGTTTTAGTTTCACTCCGGAGTACATTAGTTATCATTTTAAGCTTAATGTTATTCTAAAATTATTTTATCAAAAGGCCCTTCAGGCTACCCCAGTCTTGTTACGCTATTACTGGTACTAGAAGATAAAAGTGACGTAAGTGAATTGTTTTTCAGAGCTCGGAGAAGCTATGCATGTACATTTAACCAGGCGGTTTGAAATGATCTCCTCTTTTTTTATAAAGAAAAACAAGATCTCAAGTCACTGATCTGATATGGTCAGCCTTTTGGTCAAATTAAGGTACAGTTAATCTTATTCGCACCTTATTAGTAAGCTTCGGATTCGGCAATATGGCAGGCTCCAGGGTTTCCCCCGGCAAACCAACCACTGACCGCGGGACCGGGATCGTAAGCCATGGCTTAAAATGCCATCAAAACTAACCGAACAGGTATAAGGTGTAAAACACGATAAGGTGTGAAATCAATAGGGTACTTAGAGTTATTCTCTCACCTCTTACTGTATCATCATCAAAGTCAAGTTTTTCATCAGATGGGCCTGGGCCTGTAACTGGGCCTTGGACTATGACTGATAAAACGTCGGGAAAAGAAACTTCACTTCCTTATTCAAAAACTCTTTAGAGCGGTTTTCATTTGAGTGTCGAAAAGCAATTGGTCTTGCATTACTACGCTACACGATTGGCTTAAAAAACTCGCGCCACTTTTTCATCCAATCAGAATCGAAGTGAAACCAAAACCAATCCTTATTGGCTTACACGCGTTTTTCCGCGCTTCGCTTCAGCTACATGTATTTTACTTCAAGTTTTGATTGATTCACTGGATTGTCTATATCGTTTGTGATTGGTTAGAGTTATTATTTCAGTTTTGGTTTAATAACGATACTCAGTTGAAAATCGCTCTGTTTCATAATTAACAACAATAATTTACAACAGAAGTAATGCTAATGACAATTACTAACAAATAACATTGCAAAACTGAGATAGCAAAACAGTAGTTTAGTTCTCTACAAAAAAAGGTCTCGGATGTCTTTTGTCGTGTTTCGAGGAGAAGGTCACTCCAAAAAAGTTTTTTTTTTTTTCAACGCAAGAAAAAAAAATATCCCACTAAGTTTAGCTACTCGGTGGAGTTTGAGCCTCGAAAATACAATTTTTCTTATGAGATTTCTCTCCAAAGAAGCCCAAAGTTCAACATCGTTGCCGCCATTTTCAACATTACTCAGCAGCCAGGCCGCGTTTTCGTGACGTCATTCTGTCCAAGTGATTTTGTCCATAGCTCCCGAGAGGCCTTTTAATTACCACTCTACGTTATGCCTGCTCTTGAGCGTATTATTTCGAGGTAAACGTGCTCCAAACCTCGAAAATGATAACAGTGAAGTAGTGAAGTGGAAAATCGGTTGGAAAAATAGATTTTGCTAACCTCCTGATGGATGCCAAGTCAGTTGCAGGTTTTTCTGCTTCCCGCCAATTTCGAGTTGGACAGAATGACGTCAGATAAACACGGCCTGGCTGCAAAGAACATTTTCAAAATGGCAGCGTCCAAAGTCGAGTTTTGAGCTTCTTTTGAAAGGATAGCAGGCACTTTAGAGGCTGAAACTTCCGTGAGTGGAAAAACCCAATGTTTACTTGTTATAGGTGGAGACAAAAATGTAAGTTTTTTGGAGTGGCCTTTAAATCTTTCGCAAATTTTTGGCTTTTGCATTGTCCACTATTCCCAAGTATTAAGAACATCCAAGCCCAATAAATTCATTATTTTTACTTATCAACTAAGTTATAGGGAATGACATTAGATTTCCACGGTCTACAGTTTAGACTTCATTCACTGTAAAATAACACCGCGCTTCAAGTTCCACTGAGACTATTTTAAAACCACGTAGTTTCCTCTGCGATATTTCATCCTTCTAAACCAGCCGCGCACTGAAACTGATATGAAATATTTCATTTCTTATAAAGTTATTTGGAGTTTTTGCCCTCTCACCTTCTAAAACATCTTTATCAAAGTCCACTTTTGCTTCACGTGACTCAATTTCACTTTCCGCCATGACTGACTTTACGCCGTATTGAAAGTAATAACAAATCATATTAGTGCTTGAAAAGCTCAGTACATAACATGCCATCGAGAAAAACAATACCAGACAAAGCACTGAACTTCTAAAAATCTAAAGACTACTTCAAACCTCACAACAGGCGAGATGGTTAACTGATAGAGAACAGTCTATGGTACTTCTCAAGATCTGATCGATAAAACTATAAAGTCTATGAATAGATTCTGATATATAACATTTCATGTATCACTGCCTGACATATGAAATTTTATATATCAAAGATCTTCAGGGAGGATTCAGTACTCTGTCAGACTCAATCAGAACAAAACAGCTTGCTTAATTAACATAGTTTCCTAATAGTCACTTTTTCTTGTTTTCTTGTCACTTAAGGTGGCCGAACACAGTTTTCAAGTGCCTATGCCTAATTCACCATTACTTTTAAACTATTAATGCTTTGACGCCCGTTTTTTGCAAGAGTCAAGGTTAACCACAGAAGGGTTTCTTCTAGCATTTTGCTTAAGGTGTGTGCTGTTGCCATGGCAACGGGGCTGGTTAAAAACAAGGCTTAAAAAATGGTTTTTGTTTATTTTAAAAAAATCCAGTCGTTAGATTTTTTTTCATCATTTGCCCACTACGAAATGACATTAAATCCCTTCTGTCAACACTGTTCTAATAAAATTTTGACAAAGACGATTTTCGTAATTCGCCGTAAATCGTTTTCACTGCATGTTCTGTATCACGTGGTTCCTGGACTATTTTTTGGCCAAATTTCTTGAAATTCTAACGACTGGATCGTTAGAAATCGGCACGTTTCTGCAAAAGCAATCGGTCTCAATTTTTCGAGCAACTGCGCATGCGCTACATTTAACTGGTTTTTTTGGTAACAAAGAAAAAGCTGAGAATTGCTGGGTTCTTTGCATCGTTACCTTGTCTAATATATCTTTGTAATAAAAGACTAAAGCCATCAATACACTGCGTTCAAATATAAAGAAAAATAGCACAGAAAGTACTGGTGTTGCGTTAATAAAATGATCGCTCTATTGACGGCATATTTGTTTTTCCAATCCTTGTGCGCGCGCCGAATTGCATCAGCCAAAGCGCGCGCGAAAACTGTGTTCGGCCACCTTAACGTATATTACCACCTTATGGGCATGATTGTAAATCTATTTATAATGCAAAAACTAAGCTACACATTTACTTGACAATGTCGAAACGTCGTTTATTTCTTTCGCTAATTTTTGTGCTGAAAATATTCCCTCGAGCCTTACTTATTCAATACTGTACTAGCAATTAAAAATATAATCGTGTTGGTTAGGAAATAACTTCATCTTTGGACAATGCTTGAACACGCACTCGTGCATATTCAATTTTCGTATTAATAAAGCACGACACACCAAAAATAAACCATATCGTGAAGTTATTTCAATGATGTTTCAATCGCGCACTGGGTTCACTAGGATTTATTTCGGCTAACGTTCTTTTCGGTTAACGTGCGACAACAGCTCAGTTCATCCTCTCGAATATGATCTGCATAGGCTATGTAGCTTCTCGTAACGCTAATGTGGACCTCGGGGAATCTTGGTCAGAATAACATAATAAATAAAAGCACCTCTCCCCCTGAATCAATGTATTTCACGCATACAAACAGAGAGTGAAAAATCTAATTGTTTGAGTATAAATCTACATGTTGCTCAAAAATGTTCAAAAACTTTATCTATGTCCTCTTGAGAGACACTTCGAAAACGTTAAGAAGCGGGCGCGACATTGTTAATAACCACACGCTGGAAGAGTACTCACAATCTACGGCAAAATAGATAGTGAGCAGCGAAGCCAATAGGAGAAGGATAGTCGTGATAGAACGTTGGTAGATTAATAGTGAAACTGGATAGAATCACGGGAAAAAAATGTTCTCTATTTCTTCAAGAAAACACTGCGAGAAACAAGCAAGGAAATTCAATCGTCTTATTTCAATTATCAAAATGGAAATTCTCTTTGCTGTGACCTCACGTCAACAGCTCCTGCTAGCTCTGTGTTTCTAGTGAGTTGTAAAGTTCATCTTTTAGCGCGCGTTTTCTTACAAGAGGAATATCAAGTTTGACATTATTTGATAGCCGAGAAGATATTTTCCCCTAATATTTCTCACCTGGCCCTTCACAGGGTGAGTTTCTGCATTGCTCTTTGCTTCTTGTAATTCATTTCGATCACCAACACACCTGGCTCGTAAATCTAGTAATGTCTTGTTAGTCTTGTCATTCTACTTAGGGTTAAGGCACATGACATACTTTTTAATGAGGACCTCATTAAAACATATCATAGTAGGGCATAGAAATTCGTTTAATGGTTTATATTTTTAAGTGTTTGCGAAAGACTAATATACATATATGTTATTTGCAGGCTGGGAGGTCCGTATGGTGAAAAACTGTGACCGAGGTCTTGAAAATGCTGCCCGAGGTCACAGTTTTTCACCATGCGGACCGACCGTAAGCCGGCAAATAACATGTTTATTTTTTTTTTCCTGCAGTAAATTGGTTTTGCAGATTACAAATGGGTTTGTTTACGCAAATCTTGTCATTGAATCGGCTTGCGCGCCGTCTACTAACGATTTGAAAAAGATCTTGGTAACGAGCGAGTAACTCAGATCGTAGACAAAGAAAGATGTATTAAAAAA